CCAATCAGCTACTTAGACTACAAGCATGTCTTAAAGACATAAAAACCTGGATGACCCTTAATTTTCTCCTGTTGAACAGACAAGACTGAGGTTTTGGTTTTTGGACCTGAGCACCTTAGGAATGAATGTTTCAGTCTTTCTCCCTCCTTAGATGCATTAATCTGTCCTCCAGCTCTAATGTTAAAAATCTTGGTGTTATTTTTGATCAGGACACGTCTTTTATCCCCCACATTAAAAACGTTACTAGAACCTCCTTCTTCCACCTGCGTAATATCACTAACATTAGAAACATCTGATCTAAAGATGATGCAGAAAAACTGGTCCATGCATTTGTCACGTCTAGACTGGACTATTGCAATGGTTTATTATCTGGGTGTCCAAATACTTCTTTAAAACGTCTTCAGTTGATCCAAAATGCTGCTGCCAGAGTCTTAACTGGAGTTACTGGGAGAGATCATCTCTCTCCAGTTTTAGCTTCTCTCTATTGGCTCCCTGTCAAATCCAGAATAGAATTCAAAATCTTACTTCTAACCTACAAAGCTCTCAACAACCTAGCTCCATCTTATATTACAGATCTTATTGTTCCATATTTTACTAACAGAGCACTTCACTCTCAGACTTGTGGTTCCTAGTTTACAAAAACAGAAGCAGATGGTCTCTTGTCCTGAGCTGGTTCTGCTGGAGGTTTCTTCCTGTTAAAGGGAGTTTTTCTTTCCACTGTCTCCACTGTGCTTGCTCAGGATGGGAGACTGCAACGAAGCCAAGATTCATCTTGTCTGCTGGATTCCTCAGATAGAGAACTTTACTAACTGGCTTTTATGTGAATGTTTCTGTAAAGTCCCTGAGACAACTTTGTTGTGATTTGGCGCTTTATGAATAAACTGAATTGAATTGATCCATCATCAGGCTCCATTAGTGGACCGACTGGTCCACTTCGACCCCGCACAATGGATCTATCCACAAGTGACCAGATGTCTCCTCATAGATAAAAGTATTTCTGGTTCTGTTGTCCAGCTTTAGAGGGATCTGTTGTTTGGTTCTGATGGACCAGAACAATTACCCAGTCTTTTACAGGTCCAAACATGGTTAGCACCAGAACCAAACCTACGATACTATCTTCCTGAACCTGAGACAAGAAAAAACTGTATCTCTTGGATTTACTGTTCCACTTTTAGAACCAAAACCATAACTGGACCCCAACAGATGTGCTCAGAACATACGAACTGGAACTGAATCAGAACCAGGTCCAGAGTCAGACTGAGACATAAAACGATCTGTTAGACTTTACCAATCTGTGTTTAATAAAGGAACATATCCTGCAGCAGAACTAGTTAACCACAGCTGGAGGAGTTAACCTGTGGAATTAGATAACCATAGCTGAATTAGTTAACAGTGTAATTAGTTAACCAGAGCTGGACTAGTTAACTACAGCTGAACTAATTTACTGTGGAACTAGTTAAACACAGCTGGACTAATTAACCACAACTGGACTAACTAACAATGGAACTAGTTAACCACAACTGGACTATTTAATATGTGAAACTAGTTAACCACAGTTGGACTAGTTAACCACAGCTGAACTAATTTACAGTGGAATTAGTGAAACACAGCTGGACTAATTAACCAAAACTGGACTAACATGTGAAACTAGTTAACCACAGCTGGACTAGTTAACCATAGCTGAATTAGTTAATAGTGTAACTAGTTAATCACAGCTGGACTAGTTAACCACAGCTGAACTAATTTACAGTGGAACTAGTTAACAACAGCTGGACTATTTAACATGTGAAACTAGTTAACCACAACTGGACTAATTAACTACAGCTGGATTAGTTAACCTGTGGAACTAGTTAACCACTGCTGAACTAGTTAACTACTGCTGATCTAGTTTACAGTGGAACTAGTTAACCACAACTGGACTATTTAACATGTAAAACTATTTAACCACAACTGGACTAATTAACTACAGCTAGACCAGATAACAGTGGAAATAGTTAACCACAGTTGGACTAGTTAAAAGTGGAATTAGTTAACCTCAGCTGGACTATTCACCATGTGGAATTAGTTAACCACTGTTGGACTAGTTAATCACAACTGGGCTAGTTAACAGTGAAACTAGTTAACAACAGCTGGACTATTTAACCACATGTGGACCAGTTAACAGTGGAACTAGTTAATGACAGCTGGACTAGTTAACCACATGTGGACCAGTTAACAGTGGAACTAGTTAACCACAGATGAACCCACAACTGGACTAACAGTGGAACTAGTTAACCACAGCTGGACTATTTAACATGTGAAACTTGTTAACCAATACTGGACTACTTAACCACATGTGGACCAGTTAGCTGTGGATCTAGTTAACCACAGCTGGACTAGTTAACAGTGGAACTAGTTAACCCCAGCTGGACTATTCAACATGTGAAATTAGTTAACCACAGCTGGACTAGTTAATATGTGGAACTAGTTGAGCCATGGAGCTAGTTGACCAGTGGAATTAGTTAAAGCTGAACATTGGAACTAGTTAACCAGTTGAACAAGTTAAACACTAATTAGCAAATAGCTACATAATGAGTTAAATAGTTAAAAAGTAACAAGTGCACTTAGTGAAATATTAACAAGTTATCTAATTATGCATCTAGTTTAACAGGTGCAGCAAGTTAAAAAGATTGTAACTATCTATTGCAATAATTAATATGTAACTAACTCAACTAGTTAAAACACCAACTTGTTAGAAATAAACTTAGATTTTTTAACTAACTGATAACTTGATTAACTAATTAAAATCAAGAGTTTACAACAGTGTAGTTCATTTAATAGTTACATAGGAACTAGTGAAACAAGTTAACAACTAGTTAGCTACTAAACTAATTAGATAGTTGCCAAATGGTAACTAATATAACTAGTTAACCAACCTTCTAGTTTAGCAGTTAACAAGTAACTATCGTAACTAGTTAGAAACTGTATTACTAGTATCCAATTGTGTAATTACAGGTAATTTAGAGAAACTAGTTAGGAAGTGGAAACATTTAGGCAAATATTAGCTTTAACTAGAGTAACTAGTTATACCTAATGTAGTTAATACCTAACTAATTATATTAGTAGTTAATTAGTCACATTTGACAATTACTACATAACTTGTTAGATAGTAACTAACAAGTTACTATCCAACTATTAACTATAACTACCTAACCATTAATTTAATTGACTAATATTAGGTAGTTAGAACTAGTTGTAACTAAATAAACAGTACTTCGCTACAGTAACTAGGTCTGCCTAGTTAAACATGTTAAGTACTGTTGAAATAATTAGCTGTAACTAGTTAATTTATAATTAAATCACATATTTGGGCATCCTGCAGTTGTTGAAGCTTCAAACTGGAACAGAACCAGATTGAGGAGGAAAACTGGATCAGAACCAGGTGGTCCAGGTGGTGAAACAGTTCTAAAATGGAGACACCACTCAGAGGCTGGTTTTGTTTGTTGTGCATCTGGTCCCGAATGTCCAACTCCTCAGGAGCTCGGTTTGTGGTTTTGGGCGCATCACCTGCAGACCAACAGACACAGGTCCAAAGTGGTATGCACGTCAGAAACACTTTAATATGATGTCATTTCCTGTTTCAGTCACCTGTGTGAAACTCCGCCCTCTCCACCTGACCAATCACAAATCAATATAAAACCAGTCCACACACGTGCTACAAGCAGGAAAGATGGCCGCAGACTAGCGTTACAGTTTTTTCCCAAAATGCTGGAGGCTTGGCTTCACCGTGCAGTTGTGAGGCCGGCCTTCGTACCCTTGAAGCTCAGCAGACGCCATTTGAGGTCCTGCCCCTGTCTGCCACAACCAGTAAGGTATTGGTCCTTTGTTGTAATTGGTGCATTTAGGCCGGCTGCAGGGGGACACAGCCAACACCGACCCCACCTTCGTGACTCACCATGGGGGTCATGAAGGTCCAGCGGTTAGTGTCAGGATTGTACATCTCTACAGAGCTGAGGTTAGACTGCCCGTCGTACCCGCCCACGGCGTAAAGATGTCCCGCCGTGGACACTAGTGACACCCGGCTGCGACGCGTGTTCATGGCCACCAGGAGGCTCCATTGAGCTGAGGCGGAGCTGAACACCTCCACACTGCTCAAGAAGCCCGAGCCGTCGTACCCGCCTGCCACGTACATGTGGCTCCCTAGCAACACTGCCCCATGGCGGCACCGCTTGTTCAGCATGGCCGCTGCCGGGTGCCAGCGGTCCGTGTGATGGTTATAGTACTCCACCTGTAGGGGGAGGGGCATCAGAGATAGTTAAACAAAAACAATGACATCACTGACTCAGTTAACTTTGACTAGTTCAAACTGACCGTGTTGAAGATCTGCAGACCATCATGGCCACCAGACACAAAGATCCGTCCATCAAACACTGTCACACCAGCAGCGCTGCGGCTCACACTCATTTCCGTTACAAATGTCCACCTGCACAGCAGGACAGGTGTGTCACATGACAGGTCTCCATATGAACATCATTTTGTTTGACCCAGAAATGTCTGAAACAACTGAACTCTTCCATCAGGTTATATGTCCAGGTGGACTCACCTGTCAGTTTCTGGAGAGTAACACTCGACTGAATTCAGAGAGGACTTTCCATCGTAGCCGCCACACACAAAGATGTGTCCATCAATGACAATGGTTCCCATGGCACTAAGGATGACATTGTAGACAACACAGGTATCAGATTATTGATCAGAGAGTTATACCAGTACTGATTGGGTATTTACCTGCGCTGGGTGTTCATGCTTGACACCTGCGCCCAGCTATCTGTCTCTGGGTTGTACACCTCTACTGTGCTGAGACGTGATTGGCCATCATATCCACCAATAGCATACAGCAGTCCATTGACAACAGCCACGCCTACTCTACTGCGAGTTGTCCTCATTGGCTGACAGCGCTCCCAGAAGTTTCCCACTGGATCAAAAACCTCAACCACGTTTAAAGAGTCACCTGCAGGAGTAAAAAACTTGTCAGTTCCACTGGAGCTCAAGGTACTATGTCTTAGGTGACAGATGCACAGCTACCTGAGCTGTTCAGTCCTCCCACTGCATAAATGAGTCCTGAGATGGACGTGCAGCACCTCTGTCTGGTCTTATAGGCAGGCAGGTGAGGACGCCGCTCCGGCATCAGGTGGAAATCTTTGGCTTCATCTACCAAATCTCTGCCAGAGAAAACAAATAAAGCGTTAAACTGATGAGCTAGCCCACCAACACTCCGAAAATGATGACAACACTGTAGACCCATCCATACTCTGTGAACATATCCGTACTCTGTGGACCAGGGGTGCCCAATACGTCAATCGCGATCTATCGTTCGATAGCCATCTACCGGTCAATCGCACGGCAAAATAGACACAAAACTTTAAAAAAAATTCTTTTAATTTTTTAAATAGACGCCAGACTATCAATCCATCCTCAATATGCAATTCATCACTTGACTGACATACAGGTAAGTTAATCTGAGACCAGACCTTTTCAATGGGGTTTACCTGTATAAATAAAGGTTGATTGATTTCTGACGCATAGCTCAGAGTCACAGTCAGAGAGTCAGAGTTTCTTTATTTGTCATACGCACCACGTGGTACATGTGGTGGAACGAGATTGTGTACTCAGGGTCCCAGTTACATCCAACAATAAAATGTAAAAGAAAAACAATAATAAGATCAAAGATATGAACTAAGAAAAATATCAACTAAAGATACACTAAACACTGATAGCATAAAAACAATACACCGAACAGCAACACGAACGTGTGAGCAGATGAGTACGAATGAACACAGCAACATGAAAAGGATCAGCAGCAACATGAAACTGATCAGCAGCAACATGAAACTGATCAGCAGCAACATGATATGGTTTTTCACAGTGATTATTCTGGTTAGAGATTCATGAGTCTAACAGCCTCAGGGTAGAAGCTGTTCCTCAGTCTAGTGGTTCTACACTTAATGCTCCTCAACCTCCTTCCTGAGGGGAGCGGGGCAAAAAGTGTGTGTGCTGGGTGAGTG